TGACAGGATCCCTCTGGGGAGCATAGGACTATGGAGTCCCCAGAGGAACATTTCACTTGCCCCTTGATTGGATCCTGTTGTGGATAACCGCCATTTGGGGAGACGGGTGCTCCAATTTTCTCTTAAATTCCCTTGACAAAAATTAGTTTGTGCTGACACAACTTTTCTCCACTGGATCCAAAGTTCAAATGAGCCCACAGCCATTCCACAGGATGTGATGCCTGAATGTGAGGAGAGAGAGTCCTGGTGTCCCCTGTCGCTCTGAAGATCCCCTCACTTCAGTGTCTGATGGGCTCCCTATTTCCCACTCCATTCTCATGTGGATCACCTGCTTTCTTCATGTTACTGCTCAGGTACTTTGTGATTTCCATCCTGAAAATTTCAGGATTCAAACTTTGCATCCCATGAAAGTGCACATGGAACAAAACAGAAAACACAGGCAGATCTGGAGGCCAAGGTTGAGGTCCAATGGCAGGGAGGTCAAACGGACAGGACGCTCAGGCACAGTCTGAGTCCGACTCCTCCCTGCTGGGAACCTGAGTGATCAACCCTCAAGATGTTGATATGTTGTGTCAATATTCTCATGGACCCCTAAGGATTTTTTAATTCATTTCTGATTTCTTCTGATATCCATTGATTATTCCATAGTATGTTATTTAGTCTCTATGTGTGAGAGTAATTTCAATTTTTATTTTATTGTTGATCTCTTTTTTAAAAAATATTTAGTTTTTAGTAGTGGCTGGACCCAATACATTTATTTATTTGTATGTGGTGCTGAGAATCGAACCCAGGGCCTCCCACATGCTAGGTGAATGCTCTACAGCTGAGTCCCAGCCCCAGCCCTTTATTATTGATTTCTAAATTTATTCCACTAGGATCTGATAGGATGCAAGGTATTATCCCTATGGTTTGGTGTTTACTGAGAGTTGCTTTGTGGCCTGAGATATGGTCCCTTTTAGAGAAGCATCTGTGTTCTGCTGAGAAGAAAGTGCATTCCATCATTGATGCATGAAATGCTCTGTATGTCTGTGAAGTCCAAGTGACTGGTTGGATCATGTAGTTCTCTACAGTCTTTGTTGAGTAGTTGTTTGGTGGATCTGTGCATCAGGAGAGCGGTGTGTGAAAGGGACCCAGAATTATTCTGTTGTGACGGATATCATTGTTGAAGTGGAGAAGGGTTTGTTGGATGTATGCAGATGCTCCATTGTTTGGGGCATAAATGTTCAATATTTATGTTTTGTTGATGTCTAATTTTTCTCAGCCATCTGAAATGTCCTTCTTTGTCCCTTCTGATGAACTTTGGCTTGAAGTCCATTTTATCTGATAGGAGGATGGACCCCCCTGCTTACTTACCTACGAGACCCATGTGAGTGATGATTTTAGCTCATTTACCTTCCAATTATCCTTGAGACATGATTTGCATTTCCAGTCATTTTGGTTTCTTTCTTGTTTTTAAGTTGAGTTGGTTTCTCCTTTGATTTTTTTCTTCATTTAGTATAGTTCTTCCCTTTGCTTGTCTTGACTTATATTTTTCATTTCTTCTTCATGAAACATTTTATCGAGTATATTTTGTTCGACAGGCTTTCTCGTGGTGAATTCTTTTCAACTTTGTTTATCATGAAAGGTTTTTATTTCACCGTCGATTCTGAGGTTTTATTTTTCGGGGTATATAGTATTCTTGGCTGGCATTCATTTTCTGTCAGGGCTCAGAATGTATTATTCCAAGAAATCCTAGTTTTCAGATTCTTGGTTGAAAAAATCAGCAGAGATCCAGATTGGTTTCCCCTCTAAGTGTGTCCCATTATTTTCTCTGAAAAGCCTTTAAAATTCTATCCTTATTTTTATATTAGGCATTTTCATAACAATGCACCTTGGTGTGGGTCTGTTGTAATTTTGTATATTTGGGGTTCTGTGCATCTCTTGTATTTGATTTTCTTTTTTATTTATTCATTTTTATGTGGTGCTGAGGATCGAACCCAGTGCCTCACAGGTGCAACGCAAGTGCTCTACCACTGAGCCCCAGCCACAACCCCTTTCCTTCAGTTTCAAGGTTATATATTTTTGTCTTCTTTTCCTGAAACTCTGTCTTCCATGAGATCCAGTCTGCTGCTGATGCTTTCCCATGAATTTTCAAGTTGGCTCACTGACCCCTTCATTTTGAGGATTTTGGACTGATTCTTCTTGAGGATGTCTACCTCCTTATTAAAGGGATCGCTCATTTTTTTGTATTTTCTCTCTTGCATCACATTTTATCTTGCAGACCAACGTTACCATGAACCTTTCTGAGTTCCATCTCTGACCCTTTGTCCACGTGGTATCCATGGAGTTGGGTGCTGAGGTATTCTGTGCTGTTGGGGATGGTTTGTTCCCTCGCCTGTTCATACTGTTTGGTGGTCTCCCCATCTCTCTGGATATATCGGAAGCCATCGGATTCCTACCTAATGAGCTCACAGCGCCTCTGTGTTCCAGTACCTCACAGACTCAGGGATGGGAGCCCCACCGTGGCACCAGCGTATACAGACAATATACCGCAGACGGCTAGGTCCACAGTTCCTAGGTGATATCTACAGTGTCAGTTGTTGCAATGTCCAGGAAGCAGGTTGAGCCATCTGCATCAGTTAAAAGAAAAAAGTAAAATAATCATGAATCAGGTCTGGCCTAGATAAAGACTAGAAATGGGGAGAGAGAAACAAGGGTGTATATGTATAGGACTTCTTGAGTCACTTAGTACACAAATAATATACAAAAAAAAAAAAAAGAAAAGAAAAATCAAAAATCAAAACAAAATAACAACAGCAAAAGAAAAGTGAGAAAACTTGGTGAAATGTTCATGAATGAAGGAGTCCTTTCCACCGTGGTGGAGAAGATAATCAGTGAGCATGGGATTGTCCCTTCTTGGGTGATGGGCATGGGTGGGCTGGGGGCTGTGGCTGGGTGGTGACGCAGCTGGCTACATCCAGTGGGCCTGGCTGGCCTGGGCTTGTGGATCAGGGCTGGTCGATGGGCCTGGCTGGCCATTGATGAAGCAGGGGAGTAAGCAGGGCTGGGCAGGCCTGGCAGCAAAGTGTTGGCCAGGCAGCCTGGGCGATGGGCTGGTGGCGCATCTCTAGGCCTAGTAGGAAGATCAGTGGTTTAGGTAGGGGACCTGGGTGGTAGGGGACTTGGATATGGGTGGCCAAGGGGCTTGGTTGTGTGCTGGACTGATGCTAGATCTGGTGTTTACCATGGACCTGGGGAACTGGTGGGTGATGGACCAGGTGGGACAGGCGAGTGCTAGTGGCCTGTTGGGTATCAGAAACTGGGCAGCTGATGGACCTGGTGGGTTCTAAGGACCCAGGGAGCTTGGATGGCTCTGGGGACTGGGCTGGTTCTGGGACCCAGCAGAGACCAGCCTGAGTGGCCCCCAGGAACTCAGATGGCACTGGACTGGCAGTCTCTGGGGCCCACTGGTCTGACTGCTATAGCTGGCCTGGTTATTCTTTGTGAGTCACAGGACTCACAGGGTTGGGGAGAGTTGGGGGGTCTCTCTAGCATCTCCAACTTGTGTCCATCTGGACAAAATGCTCTCGGTTTCTGATTTTCCATGGTTTGGAAGGCTAGTTAAGCCTTTGCTAGGCTCACATAGGTTCATGTGGACCTTGCTCTGGACACACAGGACTGGGTTTCCAGTCCCCATCGGTTCCTTGGAACTGAAGATGGTTTACTTATTTCAAGTAAACCATCTTAAGCTCCCCTCTATTTCTATAGTGAGTTTAATCTATGTCTCTCCCAGTCCTCAGAGTGCGTATTATTGGGTTGTCTTGTTATTTTCTGCTTCGACCTCACGAGTTCCTATTAATCTTCACCAAGGAAGAGATAAGTGCTATCCCAAGAATTTTATTTCACATCTTGATTTTCCTTCTCTCGTCTCCATAAATCAATTCAAAATAATTTTTTTCAGCTTTTACTTCTCTGACCTGAGATCCTGAGAAAGAATCTATACACTGAAATGCTTTTCAGTCATTCAGAAGGAGCTGCTGATTCTTCACATTGTATAATTATGAAGACAGTTCAAACTCACATTTCTAGCAAACGTCTAATTGCGTTTTCTTTTTATACAGATACACTCCGTCTCAGTTTTGATCTCCCAAAAGTAAACCAGTGGTGCTCTGGCTATGGGGGGTCGGGGGGGCGGTGTGTCAAGCTGGATCAGAGACCAGGGGCTGCGATTGCTTAATTTTACAACCAAAGTGGTGAGAGTAGTGACCGCCTCTTCCTGACTTCCAAAGTGTCCCATGGTGTCCTCTCTCCAAAGAGAAAAGGGATGTTAGTGGAGAGGTGACGGTGAACTTGTTCTGTGTGATGACAAGAAGTGACATCTGCCCTTTCATGTACCCAATGTCCATCACTAAATGAGGATGCAAATCACAGTATTTATATTCACTTCAGGACCTTCTTCTCCCTGATGGGAATCCTCCGGGACATCTTCCTCATGGGGCTCATGGTCCTCTCCAGTGGATACATGGTGGCTCTCCTGTGCAGGCATAAGAGGCAGTGCCAGCACCTCCACAGCACCAGCCTGTCCCCGAGAGCCTCCCCGGAACTGAGGGCCACCAGGACCATCCTGCTACTCATGGGACTCTTTGTGCTCATGTACTTTGTGGACTGTGTGTTCTCCTCCTCTTCAGGACAGATGCACAGCGAGGACCCCACTCGCCTGGGGGTCCAGATGCTGGCGGGCAATGGCTACGCCACCCTCAGTGCCTTGATACTCATCTGTGCTGATCCACAGACACTCAGGTTCCTCCAGTGCACATTAGAAAAGGAGAGGAAGTATTTCTGTCGGGCTGGGCGACCCGTCATTTTGTCGTCCCACATCATTTATTTCTAAATGTCCACAAACGTTTTTATGTTGAAAAAAAAAATGGGCTGTTTTGTTACTGTGCCTGCCCAAGGCTGATACCTTGCACTGTCCAAGTAACACTGCAGATTCTGTCATCAAAATCATACCTGTGGTTCGTGCCTCCATCTTTCTGGGAGAGAGCGGGAGACCGAGAAAGCCGTATCAGCGGCTGAGAAACGGTTCTCTACTCCAACATGTACAGAACCAAAGTGGGCTTGAAGGACCGCCAGCAGCTCTACAAGCTGATCATTAGCCAGCTGCTCTATGATGGCTACATCAGCATTGCTAATGGCCTCATAAATGAAATCAAGCCTCAATCTGTCTGCGCACCCTTGGAGCAGCTCCTGCATCTCATCAAACTAGGAATGGAAAACGATGACACAGCGGTTCAGTATGCAATTGGTCGATCAGATACAGTTGCCCCTGGCACCAGGATTGACTTGGAGTTTGATGCAGATGTTCAGACAATGTCCCCAGAGGCTTCTGAATATGAAACATGCTATGTCACATCCCATAAAGGACCATGCCGTGTAGCTACCTATAGTAGAGATGGGCAGTTGATAGCTACTGGATCTGCTGATGCTTCCATAAAGATACTCGACACAGAAAGAATGTTGGCCAAAAGTGCTATGCCAATAGAGGCCATGATGAATGAGACTGCACAGCAGAACATGGAGAACCACCCAGTCATTCGAACACTCTATGATCACGTGGATGAAGTCACATGTCTCGCTTTCCACCCAACAGAACAGATCCTGGCATCTGGTTCGAGGGATTACACCCTTAAATTATTTGATTATTCCAAGCCATCTGCAAAAAGAGCCTTCAAATACATTCAGGTTAGAAATATTTGGAAGAGAGCTTTACATTTTTTTCTAAACATAGGGAGCTATTGAACAACTCTTCTCTCTTTTTTTTAAAGTAGTCTCTCCATGTCATCCTGTAAAACAAGTACAGCAACTGAGATACATTCTGGATGGCACAAGAATCAGATTCCATTGGTACATAGTTCATATGCTGCCATGTGCCTGCTTACTCTGGCTGGTCAGGACCTGTCACAGTTCATGGGACTGGGATTCAGAATCCAGATCACTCTTTACAGGTTGCAGATTCCTATTAAAAACTAATCTACCATCTCCCATATAACTTATAGGAAGCAAAAAACAATACAGAAACTATCAGGTGTTTATTGAAATCATGACATTGGCACTGTATTTTGAATGTGCATTGCAGAAACACTGCGGCTCTAGTACTGACTTCCATCTTCCCATAATTGAACTTTATTTTTTACTCAATAGTTATGGCTCTGAAGCAAATCAAAGTTGTTATTTTAAGTGCATTTATCTTCAGTAACCATATAGGTTTCAGAATCTCTGCTCAAAAAAAAAGATATGTCCCAGAGAGTACTTTTATTCCTTCTGATACATATGTAATAAGAATCCCCTGGATTTAATGTTCACCAATTGGTCACTTAAGTTGATGTCTGTCATTCCAGGAAGCTGAAATGTTGCGCTCCATCTCTTTTCATCCTTCGGGAGACTTTATACTTGTTGGAACTCAGCACCCAACTCTTCGCCTTTATGATATCAACACCTTTCAGTGTTTCGTCTCTTGCAATCCTCAAGATCAGCACACTGATGCTATATGTTCTGTCAATTACAATCCCAGTGCCAATATGTATGTAACTGGTAGCAAGGACGGCTGCATCAAATTATGGGATGGTGTTTCAAATCGATGCATCACAACTTTTGAAAAAGCACATGACGGAGCCGAAGTCTGTTCTGCCATTTTTTCCAAAAATTCTAAATACATTCTTTCAAGTGGAAAAGACTCTGTAGCTAAACTTTGGGAAATATCAACAGGACGAACACTGGTCAGATACATGGGTGCGGGTCTGAGTGGACGGCAGGTGCACCGGACACAGGCTGTCTTTAACCACACGGAGGACTATGTGTTGCTGCCTGATGAAAGGACGATCAGCCTCTGCTGCTGGGACTCCAGGACAGCTGAGCGGAGGAACCTGCTGTCTTTGGGGCACAACAACATTGTACGCTGCATAGTATACTCACCCACCAACCCCGGATTTATGACATGCAGTGACGACTTCAGAGCCCGGTTTTGGTACCGGAGATCAACCACCGACTGAGCCACCTTCATTACGAGGGTTCTTGTCTCTAGGACTCTGCCTTCCTCCCCTGTGTCCTGTCACCAGCTTCCATAGTAAGTCATTGCACCATCTTTGACAGTTGTGCTGCCAGCTCTGTCTGCATCCTTCTTGGATTTGTACAAAAGAATCTTTTTTTACCTTGATGTAGAATCATGGTGGAAAAAGTTGGAAACACAGATCTGTGCAGTTATTCTACATTCACTGATTATTACAGTGTGACTTTCATCGATTTTGTAAATACAGGACTTGCCATTTCTTTGGAATCTCTTGATCATTTGGAGGATAAAATATTAAAGTGCTTTCTAGATTTCAAGTGAATCTGTCATGAGGAACTTTCATTTGGTACTTTGTCAACGTCCATGCCTCTTCCACTACACTCTGTATCTTTCCTTCCCAGATACATTGGCATGCAAGTAGCCATGTGGCTCTGAGGATCCAGAGTTTGTACCGTGTTGAACCATTTTTGAGACACTCGGTTCTATCATTAAATGACATCATTCTGATAATAAAGCTCACATATGCAACTTCAGTGTTAACATACTTTTCACTTCAAATGAATGGCCAGTGCTCCCTGAAGATCTGTAGGAACCATATCTGTTGTCAGACCTCCCACGTTATCCTTTCAGTCCAGCAGAGCTCATCTTTAGTGAATGTATTTCCAATAAAATTACAACAATTTGGTGGAAAACAATAATAAGAATATATTCGATCTAAGCAAATTAGGGAAGCCTGCCATTGCTCTCAGGAATTTCTGAGGTAATTTTAAATCTTTCGTTTCTCTTTAGCAGGACTATAACTTATCACAGATACACATGGCAGCTGCATTCTTCAAAGATTTGTAGTGAACCACCTCA